GAACATCTACGCAAAAAGATTGAATGTTACGTTGATAACATAGTAGTGAAAAGCCAACACAAAGGCGATCATCTCACAGATTTGAAGGCAATAATTCAACATCATGCGAATACATCAGCTGAAGATGAACCCGACAAAATCATTCCTTGGGGTATCAAGTGGAAAATTCCTGGGATTTATAGTTACATCCAAAGGGATTTCTCTTGATCTAGAGAAAGTTTGTGCTATCTAAGACATGCTGCCTCTGAAGAATCTCAAAGAACTCAAAGGTTTACAAGGCAGACTGGCTTACATCAAGAGATTCATATCAAATCTCTCAGGATGATGCCAACCTTTTTCTAAGCTCATGAAGAAGGGAGTATCGTTCGTTTGGGATGGAGACTGCCAAAGAGCATTTGAGGAGATTAAGAGATACCTCACTCAACCGCCAGTTCTTGTGGCCTTAATATCGGGAAAACATTTTCTGTTATATGTGAGAGCCATGGACCATTCTCTTGGAGCTTTATTCGCCCAGAACAATGACCAAGGGCAAGAGCAAGCCATTTACTACTTAAGTAGAACTATGATAGGAGTTGAACACCGATATAATCCAGTGAAAAAAGAATGTCTCGCTTTGGTATTCGCCATCCAAAAGATACGACACTACCTGGTTGGACAAACAATCTATGTTATCTCTGAGGTAAATCCTTTGAGAGTCCTGAAGACAAAACCATCATCTCTGAGTTACCGGCTAGCAAAATGGGCAATCCTCTTGTCATAATATGACATGCAATTTATGCCCCATAAAGCAGTCAAGGGTCAAATGTTGGCAGACTTCCTAGCTGATCACCCGGTGCCAGGGACATCTAAGCTGTATGAAGAATTGCCCGATGAAGTTGTCGAAACTTGTGTTACTCAAGAAGTTATGCAAATATGGAAGTTATTCTTTGACGGTGCATCCAGAGCAAATCCTCATGGAGAAATTATTGCGGGAGTAGTAGTATTCATCTCTCCACACGGTCACGTGATCCCAAGGAGATTTTCCCTAATCGAGCCCTGCACCAACAATGTAGCTGAGTGTAAACTAGGCTTATAGTTTTCTTTATCGGTTCCCCGATTTACAAAAGAAGGAAGGATGAAACCATCCCTTTGTTTAAAACTGGGTTCTTTTTTTGTGGCGATGGGAGTTTGAATCTTGTATCCCGTTGACGATCCGAGCACTTCAGCTTCGTGGGGTGTTGGTCTTCTCTCCTTGACTTGAAGCCTTGAGAGAACTTGGGAGGCAAGTTTATAACTCTAGGCGAGTTTGAAAGAAACTTGTTTGAACAAGTTAGAAACTCTCTGTGAGAGAGTTGAGAAACTCTAGCTGAGTTTAAATCTCCAAGAAGGGTTGATTTTAGAGAGAAGATGAAACTCAAGAAACCTAACCCAAATGGGTTTAAAGAGCAAGCCAAAAAGCTCAAAGAAAAGCTCCAAGAAAGCTCCAAGAATCCCCTCCAAGAAGCCTCTCTCCTTCCCTTTCTTCTCTCATTTGATCCCCCTTTTCTCCTCTTTTTTCCCAACCTTTGGCTTGATGGAGATCCAACCCTATTTATAGGGTTATCATGGAGTAAGGTACCCTATAACAGGCCCTTAACTATGCCCATACCTTGATGGAACAGTTTTGAAAAGTGTTCCAGTGTTAAAAACACAAGGGTCGCGTTCTGGAGAGAAAAACGCGGGTGAACTCTGCGTCTGATGACCTTCACGTCTGGCGACCTCCGCATCTGAGCTTGGGAAAAACTTCGTGTCTGGTGATCTCTGCATCTGGTGACCTCTACATCTGACAACCTCTACATCTGGCGACCTCCGCATCTGGGCTTGGGACGAATTCTGTGTATGGTGACCTCTGCGTCTGGCTACCTCTGCGTCTGACGACCTCTGCATCTGGCGACCTCTATGTCTGGCGACCTCTGCGTCTTGCGACCTCCGCGTCTAGCGACCTCTGCGTCTTGCGACCTTTGCGTCTGGCGACCTCCGTGTCTGGTGACCTCCGCGTTTGGATTTGTAGAGATCGTTAATTGTAATCTCTTTCCTTTGACTTCTGGGCAGATTATCATTTTGTAATCTTTACACTTGGCCTTTGTGGAATGTGAGAGTCGTTAATTTGTAACTCTAATACGTTGCTGTGAAAGTCTTTACATTGTAACTTTCATTGACTGTTTGTAGAGGTCGTCAGATTGTAACTTTCGCTTGTTGATGTGAAGGACGTCAGATTGTATCTTTCATCATCTATTGAATCTGTGGAGATCATCTATCTGCAGTGATTTTTAGACAGCCTACAGAACCCCCATCGAAGTTTTTGAAAGTTCACAGTTCACTGGAATGAATTTTCGGAATACTTTGGATCCCAAAATGATTTTCATGATTCTGCATACAATAGGATTTTTGGCAAACCCTCAGCTATTAACGTATTTGATAAGCCTTTACCGACTATCGTTTGAGTCAGGTTAGCATGTGGATTGTCTAAGTCTGTTCCACATGTAACGTTGTGCTAAAAGAATAAACTCTCTTAGGCTTAGTGCTGTGATATTGAATACATAGACTTTACCGCTGTTTCTTCCTGTGTTATGTTTTCATTTGTAACACTGAAAGAAAGTTGGCAGTGCCAGAGGTATACTATTAACTTGGCATGAATTTTCACTTAGAGTAAAATTCAGAAATTTTCTTCATTATCACTAGGATAACTCCAGAAAATCTTCAATCCGCTAGGGATTCTACAATGAAGACTTGCTATTTCTTTTCGAAATAGACCTAACAAGTTCATTTGGGGTCTGACTGTTGGAGGTGTGATGTTAACCTAACAGTATTTTATGGGCCTATCGCTCTATTGAAGAGAGTCGATAAACTGGTTTGATCGTCAGAGGTGTGATGTTAACTTGACGGGTTTGTACTTATGATTTGAACAAGATTTTGAAGACTTAGCGTCTCGTTGGGGAAGATTACGATTTGAGCAATTTTGAGGACCTACCATCCTATTGGAGAGGATTGATAAGTTGACTGTCAGAGGTATAGTGTTAACATGACAGGAATTTCGTTGTGATTTGAACAACTTTGTGAACCTATCATCCTATTAGAGAGGATTGATAAGCTGACTGTCAGAGGTGTAGTGTTAACATGACAGGAATTTTGTTATGATTTGAACAACTTTGTGGATCTATCATCCTATTAGAGAGGATTGATAAGCTGACTGTCAGAGGTGTAGTGTTAACATGACAAGAATTTTGTTGTGATTTGAACAACTTTGTGGACTTATCATCCTATTGGAGAGGATTGATAAGTTAATTGTCAGAGGTATAGTGTTAACATGATAGGAATTTCGTTGTGATTTGAACAACTTTGTGGACCTATAATCCTATTGGAGAGGATTGACAAGCTGACTGTCAGAGGTGTAGTGTTAATATGACAAGAATTTCGTTGTGATTTGAACAATTTTGTGGACCTATCATCCTATTAGAGAGGATTGATAAGTTAACTGTCAGAGATGTAGTGTTAACATGACAGGAATTTTATCACCAGAGAAGATTGTCATATTAAATATGAAACAGACTGAAGTTATACTCCATGGGGATGATGATCATCAGAAGTGTAATATTAACTTGACGACGTGAAAGATTTTGTTACTCTTAATCCAGTGGATTCCAAGTAACCAACCCCCAGTCTAAGTAAGTTTAATTTCTCTTTTTAGGCTCAGCTGGGGGGGAAGAAAAAAAAGGGGGTCCCATGATTCTCTATGGGTAATATTTCTTAAGAAATTTCCCATTGATTGGCATCATGAGCCTATCATCTTTTTGATTGATGAGACGGTAGGCTCCATTCGAGTAGACTGACTCTACCACGAAGGATCCTTCCTATTTGGGATTAAACTTCCCTTTCGTCTTGTGCGTCATGACCATAGGTCATCTAACTGCTAAGACAAGATCGCCTCTCTTAAAGATCCTTTCTTCGACCTTTTTGTTGTAGTCTTTGGAGATTCGGGCTTGGTATAACTCGACCTGTTGTTGAGCATGAAGTCGCTTATCATCCAACACTTATAGTTCTTGAAGGCGTAGTCGATGACGGTCCTCATCTGTCATCCCGGTCGCAAGGGAAACTCTCAGGGATGGGATCTAAATTTCTAATAGTAGCACAGCCTCGCAGCCATACACCAAAGAGAAGGGAGTAGCTTTTGTTGGGGTCCTCACCGTTGTACGATAGGCCCATAGACATTCGCCGAGTCGTTCGTCCCAGTCGCGTCGGCTTTTGGAGACGAACTTCTTGAGAAGCTTTACGATCGTCTTGTTAAAAGCTTTTGCAAGACCATTAGCTGGTAGATAATATGTTGTTGATGCAACGCTTTAGATTCTAAACTTATTGCAGAATCTCTAAAAACTATAGTTGACAAATTGGGCTCCATTATCATGAACTATTCACCTAGGTACGTCAAAGCGGTAGATGACATGGTGTTTGATGAACTTGACCACGTCCGAAGCCTTGATTTCTTTCAAAGGAACTGCTTCTGCCCATTTGGAAAAGTAATCGGTTACTGCTAAGATAAACCGATGCCCTTTGGATGTTGGAGGGAAAATGGGTCTAACAATATCTATTCCCCACATCTCGAATGGCCAAGATGGAGATGTCGGATGCAGATTCCCTGGTGCTTGATGAATGAAATCACCGTGGACCTGGCACGCGTGACATATTTTAGCATAATTGATGGTATCAATGATCATTTTAGGCTAGTAATAGCCAAGCCTGTGGAGTCGATCCCCTAGTTTAGCTCTGGGTTGATGAGCTCCACACATTCCGTCATGAGCTTCCTTGAGGGCTTCTTGTGCCTCTTTTCTAGAAAGGCAGCAAAGTAAAACTCCATCATACGATTTTTGATACATAGTTCGAGATGCCGCATCATAATAGAATCGAAGGACCTTCCGTTTGACGGTGGTCGCTTCTTTAGAATCATCGGGTAGTATGCCGTGCAAGACATAATCGATGAATGGGAATCACCAATCTCTTTGTTCAAGACTTGTGGAAGCTTCACAAACGATCTCTGTTGTTGCCTCTTCTGAGTGATTTCCTAGAGGGAAATTGGGATGATACAAATCATGGCCTACCACGAGTATCTTTGTTTCTGCCTTTGGTGGTAATGCCAGTGAAGTTGCTAACGAAGCTAAGGCATCTGCATAGGCGTTACGGGCCTGTGGAACATGTCCGATAAAGAAGCCCTTAAAATTTTGAGCTAACTTTAGCGCTGCAAAGTGGTATGGGACTAAATCCTCATTACGCACTTCGTATTCTCCTCCGGACTTGATTTACGATGAGTTGAGAATCACCGTAGGCTTTAAGGTATTGGATGTTGAGCTCCTCGGCCAGCTGTATTCCTAGTAGCAAAGCATTGTACTCTACTACATTGTTGGTGCATGACTCGATTAAGAAAAATCCTCTTGGGATCATCTGACCAGTTGGGGATACGAGCACAACCCCCACACAGACTGTGATTCCTCCATCAGGACTTGCTCTAGATGCACCGTCGAAGAACAATTTCCATACTTTCATGACTCCTTGAGTTACATAAGCCTCTGCAACTTTGTCTGGTAAGTCTTCATATAATCTGGAAGAATCAGGCATCGGATGGTTAGCTAAGAAATCTGCTAGGGTTTAGCCTTTAACAGCCTTCCGAGGCATGAACTGCATTGAATACCGTGACAGAAGTATTAACCATTTTGCAAGGCGACAATTTAGCGAAGAAGGTTTCGTCATGAGAACTCTCAAAGGGTTCACTTTGGAGATAACATGAATAGTTTGTCCAACTAAGTAATGCCGCATTTTCTGAATGACGAAAACCAAGGCACAACATTCTTTTTCCACTGGATTGTACCAGTGTTCAGCTCCAATCATGGTTCTACTGAGGTAGTAGATTGCCTTTTCATGGCCCTCATCATTGTTCTGAGCTAATAAAGCTCCAAGAGAATGTTCCATGGCCCTCACATATAACAGGAATGGTTTTTCTGTCACCGGGGCCACTAGAACGGGCGACTGAGTGAGATATTGCTTGATCTCCTCAAATGCATTTTGGCAGTCTCCATCCCAAGCAAAGGAGAACCCTTTCTTCATTAACTTGGTGAAGGGCTGGTAACGTCCTGAGAGGTTTGATATGAATCTCCGGATGTAAGCTAATCTGCCCTGTAGGCCTCTGAGTTCCTTGATATTCTTCGGAGACTGCATCTCTTGGATAGCCCGAACCTTTTCTGGATCAATTGGAGGGAAAATGGGTCTAACAATATCTATTCCCCACATCTCGAATGGCCAAGATGGAGATGTCGGATGCAGATTCCCTGGTGCTTGATGAATGAAATCACCGTGGACCTGGCACGCGTGACATATTTTAGCATAATTGATGGTATCAATGATCATTTTAGGCTAGTAATAGCCAAGCCTGTGGAGTCGATCCCCTAGTTTAGCTCTGGGTTGATGAGCTCCACACATTCCGTCATGAGCTTCCTTGAGGGCTTCTTGTGCCTCTTTTCTAGAAAGGCAGCAAAGTAAAACTCCATCATACGATTTTTGATACATAGTTCGAGATGCCGCATCATAATAGAATCGAAGGACCTTCCGTTTGACGGTGGTCGCTTCTTTAGAATCATCGGGTAGTATGCCGTGCAAGACATAATCGATGAATGGGAATCACCAATCTCTTTGTTCAAGACTTGTGGAAGCTTCACAAACGATCTCTGTTGTTGCCTCTTCTGAGTGATTTCCTAGAGGGAAATTGGGATGATACAAATCATGGCCTACCACGAGTATCTTTGTTTCTGCCTTTGGTGGTAATGCCAGTGAAGTTGCTAACGAAGCTAAGGCATCTGCATAGGCGTTACGGGCCTGTGGAACATGTCCGATAAAGAAGCCCTTAAAATTTTGAGCTAACTTTAGCGCTGCAAAGTGGTATGGGACTAAATCCTCATTACGCACTTCGTATTCTCCTCCGGACTTGATTTACGATGAGTTGAGAATCACCGTAGGCTTTAAGGTATTGGATGTTGAGCTCCTCGGCCAGCTGTATTCCTAGTAGCAAAGCATTGTACTCTACTACATTGTTGGTGCATGACTCGATTAAGAAAAATCCTCTTGGGATCATCTGACCAGTTGGGGATACGAGCACAACCCCCACACAGACTGTGATTCCTCCATCAGGACTTGCTCTAGATGCACCGTCGAAGAACAATTTCCATACTTTCATGACTCCTTGAGTTACATAAGCCTCTGCAACTTTGTCTGGTAAGTCTTCATATAATCTGGAAGAATCAGGCATCGGATGGTTAGCTAAGAAATCTGCTAGGGTTTAGCCTTTAACAGCCTTCCGAGGCATGAACTGCATTGAATACCGTGACAGAAGTATTAACCATTTTGCAAGGCGACAATTTAGCGAAGAAGGTTTCGTCATGAGAACTCTCAAAGGGTTCACTTTGGAGATAACATGAATAGTTTGTCCAACTAAGTAATGCCGCATTTTCTGAATGACGAAAACCAAGGCACAACATTCTTTTTCCACTGGATTGTACCAGTGTTCAGCTCCAATCATGGTTCTACTGAGGTAGTAGATTGCCTTTTCATGGCCCTCATCATTGTTCTGAGCTAATAAAGCTCCAAGAGAATGTTCCATGGCCCTCACATATAACAGGAATGGTTTTTCTGTCACCGGGGCCACTAGAACGGGCGACTGAGTGAGATATTGCTTGATCTCCTCAAATGCATTTTGGCAGTCTCCATCCCAAGCAAAGGAGAACCCTTTCTTCATTAACTTGGTGAAGGGCTGGTAACGTCCTGAGAGGTTTGATATGAATCTCCGGATGTAAGCTAATCTGCCCTGTAGGCCTCTGAGTTCCTTGATATTCTTCGGAGACTGCATCTCTTGGATAGCCCGAACCTTTTCTGGATCAACGGAAATACCTTTAGAGGTGACTATGAACCCAAGGAATTTACTGTTGGATACCCCTAGGAAAGATTTGGTGGGGTTCATCTTCAGTTGATGTACTCGCATGATGTCAAACATCATCCTCAAGTTTGAGAGATGATCACCTTTCTTCTGGCTCTTCACTGCGATGTCATCTAGGTAGCAATCTACCTTTTTACAAAGATGTTCATGGAAGATCATGCTCATGGCACGCTGATAGGTTGCACCAGCATTCTTCAGTCCAAACAGTATTACTGTATAACAGTACACCCCCAGTGGTATTCTGAAAGCCGTGTGCTTTTCATCTTCAGGGGTATTTTGATCTGATTATATCCTAAGAATCCGTCCATGAAAGACATTCTCTCATACCCACAAGTATTGTCAATCATGACGTCCGTGATGGGAAGGGGAAACTCATCCTTCAGACATGCGGCATTTAAGTCACGGAAGTCGATGCAAATCCTGACTTTCCCATTTTTCTTGGTTACGGGGACAATGTTAGCGACCCAGTCAAGGTGTTGTTCCTCTCTGACAAAGCCTGAATCGATAAGCTTTTTAACTTCTGATTCAATTGCTTCCATGATCTCTAGATGGAACTGACGTTGTTGTTGTTTAACGGGTTTCGCATCCGGATCAATGTTAAGATGATGCACAGCTACTTTTGGGTCAAGACCAGGCATGTCTTCATAGTTCTAGACGAAGACATCTATATATTCTCGGATGAGAGATATAAGATCCTCTTTCTCGGATGATGATAAGCTTTTACTTATAAAAATAGGCTTGGGATCGGTTTCATCTCCCATGTTTATCTGGATCACCTTATCTTTCGTGGGTGGCTCACATTGCTCGAAACGCATATCCCATAAAATATTAAGGTATTTGATCCAAGGATCGCCGTTTGATTTAATCAACTCCTTGTCATCCTCTTCGTCTTCGTCTGGATGACTAGATGAGGTCATATTCATAGACAAGCCCTTGAAGACTGCACCAATGCTAACGTCCGAGTCCCATGATGATGTTCCAGATGAGTAGTCCTGACATAGACATTCATTTTCTGAAGAGGGGGGGGGGCGTTGAAATGTAGCCTAATCCTCTCTCAGTTTTATGATAATAATCAGAGGGTTTTCCTTCTGGAGTGAAAGACCAAATTAGTGCTCGTCTTCCTTTCCCGAAGTTTAAACCTTTCGGGTTATTAAAGTCATAACCTATTTTCTTCATCATACTGAGGGACTTGGATCCATAATGATGGAATTGTGGGATTCCGAGGTCTTCCTCTAAACTTCCCTGATCAGGTGGCCCAGGGTTGACTTTCCCAAAATAGATTGGCATTTGGCCACTCTTCTTGGTTGGGACTATGAAGAAGGCTATCTTAGTGTCTTCCATCTCTTCGAATGTTGTGAAAGATGATTTGAGCGGCAGGATAAGCGATGCTTCGGCATACAATGCATGCTACAGATCTGTTCTTGCACCTGCATCAGAGGATACTTCAGACAAGTAAGCCAAGTTAAAATATTTATTAATGTATCACTCGCCCTTACTAGATACATCATTGTTGTTGAGCTCATTCTGACTCATTACATTCAAATCTAATTCCCACAGACATTCTTCCTCAGGTTCAGGCTCGGGCTCGTCGTCTACTTCGTTATCGCTATCAGAATCTTCTTTTGGCTGCTCCGGTTCTTGGGAGTCCATGTAGAAAACTGAATCAGTATGATAGTTTTCCACACCCTTGAATGGTTGTCCCTGGGCTATCAGGGTTCTGACTTCTCCCTTATCATCGACATACTTCATCACTTGATGGAGGGTAGACGGGACAATGCGATTTGCATAAATCCAAGCTCGCCCTAACAATAGATTGTAGGACGTGTCCGTATCTATGATGTAGCTGGTCACTTCTGATCTGAGATCCCCTTTTTGACATTTGAGTTTGATCTTGCCCATGGGTCGTGTGCTGTTAGCGTTGAAGCCGAAGATAGTGGTCTGTGTTGAGTGTAGCCGATGCAGAGGAATCCCCAAGAACTACATAACTCTGTATGGCATAATACCGAGGGCGGATCCCGGGTCGACTTGGACACGGTTGATTTCCGAAGACCCGATATACCCTGTGTAGTATAAGGGTCGGTCATTCTTGTGTTTGATTTGCATGTCTTCATGGGTGAACGATACGCAAGGCAAACTCCTTGTAGCTTGTAAGCATTGTGCATAAGAAGATCCTTCAGTAGCTTCTGGGATGACAGGCACTTGAGTAATAAAGCTCTCTATATCCGTTAAAGCTTCAATCAGAGCCCTTCTCGTGGACTTGGACAGTTTCAAAAGCTCATAAAGAGTGATTCTGGCAGGGATATTAGCCAGTTGCGCCATGACATTGAAGCAAAAGGGAGCGCTTGACCCTCCTGCCTCTGGTTGGAGGACGTTCTTGTTATAACGAACTTCTTTCGGCTTCCCTTTATTGGTTGGCTTCTTGAGAATGGAACCCCCAACCTCCTCGGGTGGCTTTTCTACTTCTTCGGTAGTTTGATCATACCTCTTCAAGTATGTCTTCCCTGACCTAGTGCATATTCCCGGGTTTGCTCCTTGCCCGGCTGCCAGGGCACTCTTCTCTTCCTCTGAGTCAGTGAGTGGGGCTAGATGTGCATCATCCTCATTCAGAGAGAGGCTAATCATATTGGAAGCTTTAGCCTTGTGTCTCTTCTTCTTCCCTGATACTCCGGTCCACTGCTGGTCATCAAGAAGATCAAGATGGACCCACATTATCTCTCCTTTTGGAGTGGTAAGGGGTACCAATCCTTTATCCTTTTGACCATGTGGATCAATATTTCTCATGTGTAACTCCTCTTCAGGGATAGGAACAACACCATCCAGAGCTGCAACAGGTGGGAAATCTCCGAATTGGACCGATATCATGTTAGTAGACACAGTCTTCTGTTCTGGCCTCAATTTAAGCACCTCGGCATCAATCAAAGCTTGTAGGATATCCTTGAAGATATAACATCTCTTCGTTGGATGACCCAACATTTTATGGTATAGG